TGTCTCACAGACTGGTCTTTAAGACGTGTCTCCCACACGCGTCTCCCAGACTCGTCTTTAAGACGTGTCTCCCAGATATTCTTACCTGCTCTCCGACCTTCTGCCTCTTCCTCCTCAGCTTTTCCATGCGGGAGCTCTTCTCCACGTTGTTCAGGTAGAAGTTGGTCTCCTTCTTGGCCTGGGAGACCTCAGTCCGGAGTCTCTGCTTCAGCACCGTCTGTTCATAGGCCAGCCGCTCGCTCAGGTGAGTCCACTGGAACCTGTGCAGGTACTTGGTAGAGAGACACAGACAGATCAGCTTCAGAAACTGTTTCAGGAAGTAACTAACTGGTAGCTGGTAGTTCTAAGACCACAGCTTCCTGTTTGGATGGATGAACTCTGAGCCTCTGTACCTGAACCCAGTGGGATCTAGTTAACTATAGTTCTACACAGTGAACTGGTCCTTTAATTGGAGCCGATCGTCTTTCTGCTTATAGGAATCATTTAGTTCATCTCTATCAATACTGAGTTTAATCAGCAGCAGATTCAGTCTGTGTTTAATCTACTGTCAGACTAACAGGAAACGTGTTTCCATCAAACTTCTCTGATGTATTCATTAGAAGAGCGACATCTAGTGTAATACTTCAACATCTCCATCAATTTCCTACATTTGACTAAGAAGGTTTCAAAGTCTCGCGTTTGAGTTGATCTTTAGTAACGAGGGTTAAAATGGAGCAAAGAAGAGATGGAAAGAAAGATGGATCTGATGTTTCTGCTGAATGAATGAAAAAAACCTGAATCATGGATGCAGCTAATGAATAATTTGCCAATTGAGTAATCTGTAGATTTTTTTTTATTAATTAATAATCGGATAGCAAGAGGTTCCTTGAAGACATTTAGGTAATTAAAGCAGGTGAAACTAAAATGCTGGATAGAACAGATTGATGAAAAAGATTTTTTTATCTTAAATGTTAAATGTTTACATATTTTATTTACAATTTGGACATAATTCCTGCTCTAAGTGTGTCGCTCTGTCAGCTTAAGGCACATTTTAAAGTCTCTATTCTCCAGTTAACAACTGATGACTAAATTAGTTAAGGAATATTTTAATAATCCAGATTAACTGTTTCAGTAATCTATGAAGGGATGGATTACTGATTGAACTGCAGATTTTCACCAACAGAATGAAGGTTTAACGACGGATTAATTCATGAATTTATAATTTTTTCTGTATTAAACTGATACCAAGCTACCAATCAGAGGCCAACTTCAGCCTGGTTAGCTTAACGTTTGAGCAGCTGGACTCTGACTGGGTGGAGGTCGCTTTGTGTGGATGAAAAATAACCGTGGAATGAGCCAATCAGCTGCGGTGTGACTGTTGCTAGGCAGAATAGGGAACCAAGCAGTACCTTCATGTTCCAGAGGTCAGAGAAGAATCTCTGGCGCTTCTTGGTGCCCATGGGCGTGTTGTGGAGCGACAGCGCCACCCGCTTCGCCACCCGCTTGTCTCTGAACTCCACCCACCCTTCGGTGAAGTCACACCTTCTGGAGCCCGACTCCTTCCTCCTCTTCCTCACCTGGCGGTCTGCAGAATCAGAGCAGGCAGATTATAATCCGGCAGCAACAAGCTTCAGATGAGAGAAACCCTCAGTGATCTAACGAATCAAACATGGACGTTATCTATAGTATCTAGGATATTATCTATTATCTAGAAACTTACATTTTTGACAAGAAAACTAGCAAGTTATTGAGTTTTTGCAGTGTGTGCAGACGGTTAACGTGGCTAACGATGTTAGCAGCGGTGCAGAAGACGCGCTCTTTGTCCACCTGATAATAAACAGCAGAGGACGCAACAATAGCTGCAGTGCTAACGTGTTTATTGGCTATCAGGGCTAAGAAGTACGACACAGTAAAGTTATTCAATATCCGTCTGTCTGCAGCACCTATCAGGCTGCCGTACCCCTACAGCTGTAGG